AAAAAAAAAAAAAAACATAAGTTCAAAAAAAAAAAAAAAAAAAAAAAAAAAAAAAAACAAAGTTCAAAGCTGTTAATGGAATCATAGAGTGTAGGGGTTTTAATAAATAATACGGATAGAGATACAGTCATACAGATAGAATAAAAAGAATGTCAACAACCACCTATCCAAGTTGTAGTCTTTCTTTTGAAAATCTAATCTACCTTGTTTTTCCTCTTAATTATTATTATTCATTAATATTTTTTTTAAACAATTAATGACCTCTATATCTATTTTATCGTGTAAAATCAGTCAATAGATTTCTATATTTGGAATAGTTTATGCCTTGCAGTATAAATTATAAATATAACATTATAAACGTTATTGCCAAAAAAAAAAATAATATAAATGTCAAGGCTTAAATTGAAAATAATGTTTATTTTAAGAATTTTTGCTACTTAAGGGGTGGTGATTAGTAAAATTCCATAACATAGTTAAAGGTACTAATATTGTTATGTCTTTTAAAATATTTTATTTATATAAAAATGTAATTTTTTTCATCCATTGCTAGCAACAAAGTCTAAATATTCGGAATCACCGAATACATCATTTCATCCCTAAGTTTTGTTTTTTCACAATTAAATTTTATTTTTTATATTAATCCCAAACCTTATCACACTAGCAATAATAATTTTTTTAAGATTTTTAGCTTTATGCAAAATATTAAGTTAATATGTGGTTAATACAATTTTTGAAACAATAATTTTCATACTTTTAACTATTAAATAAGTATTTAATTGATATAATTTTATAAGCTGAGGTATTCAATTTATCAATTCAAACATTTAATAGGTTTAAATTTATAATATACAGTGTTGAACAGATCAAACTAAAAATTAAAGTTTTACAAAAATTTTCGTGAAAAATATACGGGTGAATTTATGTGTCGAGTTATTTAGAATTTGAATTTTTACATGAATATAGAATTCTTTTAACAAACAAAACATCATAATTTTAAATCTTCGAGTGTATGCAATTTTTTTTTATTTGAGATTATTTTGCATAAAGATCTAAACTAATAATAATTCAGCCAGCGGACACAAATAATTGCGAAGATAAAATTATTTTCATGTTTGCATTGAAAACGTAATCATCCTATTCATTAATTGAATGAACTGAAATCTGGTGGTTGAAGCCTTAGTGGAGATAGCGACCGCCGGCGAATGTATTTTGATGAATATTCTCTATTGGCCTTTTTTTTTCCCTAATAGTATTATAATTGGTCATTTTTATATTAAAAACATTTTTAAATTAATATAATATAAAGAGTACATTGTAAAAATAATTCTTTAATTTAATAAAATTTAGAGTCATGTAAGATTATGATTATTAGTTCAATGCATTTAATAAATAAAAAATTTATAAATGGTCATTATAATAACCATTTTAGAGAAGCTATTATAAATTACATACATGGTCAGCAGGGATAGAGCTAGACTTTAAAATTTGAAGAGGCCAAAATAAAATTTTAAGAAGTTAGGGAGAACAAAATGAAGAATTTTTTTTTTTGGAGGAGCCGGCCTCCCTAGTCCCCCTCCCTCCGCCGCTGATGGTCAATGGTGTTTTTCCCTGCAGATGTTTAAGCTCTTATAAATTATTACCATAGAGCTATAAACTATAATCAAATATGGTATAGTTATTATAAATAAAATTAAAATATAAAAAAAATTTATGTATGAAGGATATTTGATTTGCTTATATTTTATAAATTTTAATTTTTTTGTACTTTTTTTATTTATATAAATACAGAAGCACAAAATTCTAAAACAATTTTTATAAATTCATTTAAATAAAACATTAAAAAATAAAATTATTTTTATTATTATAATAATTTCAAGTTTTTTTAAGAGAACAATATTAAATAAGTGAAATATGAATAAAATATATACTTTTTTATTCTATTTATATAGATAAAATTTTTTTCTGCGATGTTCTTTTTTATAGAGAAAATTACTTAAAATAGTAACCTTGGCATTAATGTCAAAGTGACAAAAAAAAGTCTAATATTCACTTATTTAGTTTTGAATTTAAACATTACTGTGAAAAAATTTTTAAAAAATGACAGATATTATTATAATTGGACAATTAATATTTTAAAATAGACTATACCATACTAATATATTATATTGAATTATAAAATAAAGGTAACTTTCCTCTTAAATGGCGAAATTAATATATATTATCATTATCATAATTTTGATTGATGTGTAAGTTGGGATGTTGATCTGTTTTTTCTTGTTGGATGCAAAAGATGATAAGCATGTTATCTTTTCCACCTCATGAGGCAGCAAACACAACATTAATATTCCATTTTCAATTGCTCAAAATTTTGTGGACCTAAAATTTATATTATTCTGTTTCTTTCGATTTCAGCCGTTCATATCCTCTCAAAATCTTACAATAATACTCTCGAACTCAATAATATTACTTTAATAAGTTCAAACAGACAAGACCTTATTTCCATCATTTTTGTCGTACTTCTTTTAATTTTTTTTTATATTTAGTGGCTAATGAAATAATTATTTTTATTAAATATTTTTATTTTAAGCTCCTATTTGACAATAACTTTTTATATAATATTTTTATTATTTATAGTAATTCTATAACATATCGTTTATACCAGTGATTACAGTTTAAGAGACTCTTGGGAAATTAACTATTCTAGTAATTATTAATATCCAACGGTTAACAAAAGCACCAGTATTTTTTAACCGGGCCTTAATGTACATTTCTATCAATAAATCATTATTAGCTATATTTTTTATTGCTTTAATTCTTATATTAAAAAGATTAAATTTTAATTGGGTTCAAAAATAATTTAATACTTTTTCATCCCGTAATTATTTTGTCCTATTTTTCTTTTATATTATTCTCGTATTTATTTTTCTAGAGAAAATAAATTTTTAAATTACTAAATTACTAATTTAATACCCTATTTAATATGCATTTGTATCAATAAAGTTAAATTAGGATAATCGTTATGAGACGAAAATACATTTTATGCACATTATTATCTCATAGTCATAAAAAGTTCAAATTTTATTTATTTATTACTGTGAAAATTCACTCAATAACATTAAAATTAATTGAAAAATGTTAGATTATGAATCTAAATTATCATAATCCATAAAGTAGCAAAAGAATATACAAAAATATAAAAAAGAAGCACATGAGCCTCGTAATAATTTTTCAGTCCAGATTAGGTAAAAAGAGAGAAAAAAATTCATGTAACTGTTTTATTACTATGTGCTCCCTTCTATTTCCTATAAAAGTGACACAATCTCAATTTTAACTTTTTTTTTTCCATTTTTGTCTGTGACTTTATAAATTATTAAAGAAATATTAATATTTTTTTTCCAAAATTATCATGACCTTTTTGCATTTCTTGTGAATATGTTTATGACTCAATTGTGATTCGTATCACTCAAATATATCACGGTAGATCTCACAAAATCCATAAAATGTAAAATTCATATATTATAAAATTAATTTCAATGTTATCATTTGGTTGAAAAATAAAATTCATCAATTTGAAAAAAAAAAAAATTTTTAGTAAATTTCATCGTCCATAAAAAACTATGAGATTAACCCACTTCTAAACTATGATTTCTCTCTTTTCTAAAATGAAGGAATAGACTATTATAAAGTTTATGAATTTTACAGATTTAGCCTATTTTTTTATTAATCAAACGACAAAATTTGACAGATATCTTAAATTATATTGGTTAAATCACATTTAATCCGTAAAATCTCTTATAGAATTAATAAAAGAAAGCAATTTTAGTCAGATTTTTTTTTTTTTCAGAATTGAGGTGATTCAATATTTTTCTTAATTTTTATGTAACGTATAATTGTATCGCTAGTCAAAGGAAGCAAAAGCAACCAACAGCTTTCAAATAAAAATTAAACATTACAGTTATTAATTATATAAATATTTTAAATACATTAGTGTTATGATTATTATCATGACTCAGCTAAATATAATTTATAGTATGGAGTTTTAACCAATTTAGAACATCTCTGATGTTAATATGGATTAGTCTTATTTAATTGTCACATCATAAAAATAATTTTTTTTTAAAATGCTCTTTAATACTGATTTCTATTTAATATGTCAAGTTGATGTGTCAATAAAATAAATAGACATTATTTAGTACATATTCCTTCTATTTCTAAATGGTTTCCTGCAACGTGGACATTTATTGGTCTATAATAATTTGCTATATATTAAATTGTGAGCCCAAAATAGAAAATAAAAAAGAGGATGGAAAAATATTTAAAACTAGTGCATTGAAAATAAATTTTTAAAATTCATATTAGCATTGGGATACTCTTAGTCGATAATCTATATTAGATTAGAGGTGCTCTCCTCTTAATTCCTTTTCCTCTCTTTTTTTTTTTTTTTTTCTCTCCGTTTCTCCCAGCAACAAGGAAAAAAAAAACTTTTCCCTTTTCCTATAACTGTTGTTCTCACTTTCTTTTCGTTTTCCTTTTTCTCCCAAACAGGGTGTAAAAATTTAAAGAAAGCCTTTCATTTTCTCGAGACAATCGAATGGGATAAGAAAGAGACAGCCCCTTCTTTTCCCTTAAATCCACCATACACGTGTCACACGTTTATCTTTTCACACGTGTCAAAGTTATCCTCCCTCACTCTTCAGAGAGTAATCACAAACTTCCCAAATTTCCCCAATCAAATCTCATCTTTGAGATTTTTTTTCATTTAGATTATGCTAATTATTCATATTTCAATTCTACCCCTCACTACCTCGCCTGATAGATATACAATTATTACCTAATTAGGGGCGAAATAGTCTATTCGAAAAGATAAGTGAATGTGCTGTACATGTGTAATCTGTTTTCCTTATCCTACTAAAGTATCCAAAGAAAATAATAAATTTTCAAAATATTTAATTATTTATTTTTTAATTTCTTACGCTCAGCATCCATTTTTATACAAAGCCTTGCTTTTGTCCATCTCTTCTTTTCCTCCTTCTCCGGTCATTTCTTTGTTTTTGTTCAAATCTCTCTCTCTGACTTTTTAGTTACCATTTTGCCCTTCTTCCTCCCTCTTTCACCACTAGATCCATCATCTCCATTTTAGGGTTTTAATATCACAATTGCTTCTCGATCCGATTCTCCTCTTCACCTACCGGGCGTTTTTTCTTTTTAGACAGAAATCGATTAATACCTTTTGACATTAGTTCGGTTTTCCATCTAATTTCAAATCCACTAACCACTTACATTGTAATTTTCGTTGACTTTAAATCTAGGCGTTTAGAGGATTAAACAGCAGTTGGAGAATTTAATTTTAGGATTTTTAGTTGGTTTTCCTTTTGTTTTTGTTTATTTTAGAAATTTGGGGATTAGGTGTGGAGATGTTGGGGGCTGGATTGCAGTTTACTACGCGTGGTCGTGGAGAAGATCGATTTTATCGTCCGGCCAAGGCTCGTGGGGCTCACCAGAATCAACACAACGATCAACTGCGTAGAGCTCAGAGCGATGTATCAGCGAGTCAATCGCCTTTGGTTAAAGAAAGACTTGAAAAACCTGCTGTTTCGGTGGTCGATAGGGAACCGGAGAACCTAATTGCTTTGGATGAATCTCCCAAAACCGTTTCCGTTCCTGCCTTTGAACCGGTTGTTTCTCCGTTGAGTAATTTGGAGCGGTTTTTGGAGTCTATCACACCATCCGTCCCAGCTCAGTACTTATCTAAGGTACTGGGAAACTTAAGGACTTCATTTAGTATCAATTACATACATATTTGATTAATTTTTCCATAGTTTTCATTAATGACTTTGACAAAGTAGGCATAGCATTTTACATGAAGTTCTTTAGGTAATGTCTTTGTAGTTGATTGAACCAGTTCCAGTAAATTGTTTTTAGTAGAACATACGGAATACTGAAGCCATTTTTGGGTTTTGGAAGACCTAAACATGGTTATGAAAAATCACTGGAAAATACGTATATGATTCACGTTAACTACTTAGTTATCTGCTCCTTTTTGGTTGATTAGATTTAGAATAAAACTAACCAATGAGACAACTGTAATTTCCAAAGCTTGTGGAAGACTAACTATAATGAGTTCGATGGCAGACTACAATGCGGGGATGGAGGACTTGTGATGTGGAATTTCAACCATATTTTGTACTTGGGGATCTGTGGGAGTCTTTTAAGGAATGGAGTGCTTATGGTGCAGGAGTTCCTGTAATCTTGAATGACAGCGATTCTGTTATTCAGTATTATGTCCCTTATTTGTCTGGAATTCAAATATATGGCGATTCTATGAAGACACGCGTCAAATCGAGGTAAATATTGATTTCATTGGTGCTAAATTGTTTGTTTCTATTTGTTTAATGTGCTATAACTTTTCAATTGTTGTGTTAATGCTTAAAAATGATTGCATTCAGGAGAACTGGACTTTAAACATTTGTGGGGACCGACAAAAGAATAGAGCTGGATTTTAAACAATTGAGTGCTAATATGTATATTTTTTAAAATATAAAATAAAATTTAGAACAGAAAAATTGAATTTCGATATGTTTGGTGGGGCCATTTCCCCATGCAACCCACGAGTAGTTCGGCCCTGGATTGTGTTCATATGTGGTTTAACATCTTTCATTTTTGTCGGCTCTTTTGTGTCCGTTACATGTTAGTTATTAGTGTATGCTTTCTTGGTTTGTTTGATGTGAACATTTTCTTTTGGTGTTTGATGTGTTTGTAACATCTAGATTCGATTCGTTTTGACCAATAATTTTGGTTTGTATATGTTTTGGTTCTTATATATGTAGTCCATGTTTATGGTTATGGCTGGCTTGCATCTACTGATTCTGGTTGGAAGTTTCATGTTAAAAGAATATGACTAGGACATTTGATTTTTTTTTTTTTTTTTTTTTTTTTCAATGTTAAAAGAATATGACTAGGACATTTGATTTTTTTTTATTTTTTTTTTTTTTTTAACGATTATTTTTTTTTTTTTTTTTTTTTTAACGAGTCCAGCAGATTATATTTGGTTTTTAATTTGTGTTCAAGAAAGTACTTGATGGTTGATGCTCTAAAGCATAGACAAGATGCTTATATAGTTTGGATCTTGTTCAAAAAACTGCTCAGGACATTATCAATGGAGTTCAAGTTGTGTACATTTATGTAATTGTAAATTTCTTTTGAAGCATAAGTAGTTGTTTATCAAAGAAAATTGCTTATGCATTTGATAGTCGAACTTGAACCTGAAACTGCATAATGACTGTTTCAATGCATATTATGCACGTTGAATGGTATTTATTTATTTAATCACTCAAAGCAATATGGTTTTAAAAAATTCCATCTGTTACATAAATGGAGTTTGGTGCCTTTTTGTATTTTCTTCTTTTATTTTACGCAGTTAATGGTTATTAAGATAAGATGATTATGTTTTCCTTTTCACCTTAAAATAATTCAATATCTTTTGCATAATGCTTTGTTGAAAGCAATATCCTGGCTCAAAAAAATTTACATTCTATCTTTATTGGGTATTCTTTGCAAAGTGTAGTTAAATATTGCTATATTTGAACACGTTACTTGTTTTTTGTTGTATACATTGCATCTAATGCAATCCGGTATTCCTAAAAAAGTTATTTCCAATAGGCATAATTGTTACACAATCTCTGTAATATTTTTGATTTCGCAACATGGACTATACTTGTGACTCTAGTTGATGCAGTGATTAAAACTATTGATGGTACATTTAACTGATAAAATGTTAGTTATACGAGGCTTTATCAAAGGGAGGCACTTGTTACTTTACTTTTCTTTATTTTTCTTGTTCTTTTTTTTTTTTTTTTTTTTTTTTTTGGTTCTTTTTTTTTTTTTTTTTTTTTTTTTGTTCTCTTTTTTGAACCAGTGTTTTTAGATTTAGTGATTCAATGGCCAATTAATGGCAATGCCTTTGCACTTCTTGGTTTGCGTGTGGATGCATCATTAACTTTTGTGTATAACCTTTTTTTTTTTTTTTTTTTTTTTTTTTTTTTTTTTTTTTTTTTCTCTTTTTTGACCAAGTGGTTTAGATTTAGTGATTCAATGGCCAATTATGGCATGCCTTTTGCACTTCTTGTTTGCTGTGGATGCATCATTACTTTGTGTATACCTTTTCTGCCTTGTTATTTGGGACAAATGAATTCTACAAAATATATCCATTTAATATCAGGGGAACCATTATTGCTGCTGCCAAAATGGCTGTGGCCACAGCCTAAGGTATTAAATTTTCTTTGTTGCAGTCAATAATTGTTTTATTTGTTTAACCTCTTTATCATTTTGAAATTTATTTGTCCCAAGTCATGATTCAATACCTAAAAGTTCTCTCTCTCCCCCTTTCTCTCTGTCTCTCTCTCTCTCTTACTATCTATCTATCTATCTATCTATCTATCTTCTGTTGCCAAATGCCACCATACCTCAAATTGCTTGCCTATTGCCAATGAGATTCTAACGGCCTTGTTTTGTGGGTAATGACTCAGAAATCCAAAAATGTTGTTTCAAAAACTATGAGGGAAGGCCAAAACTATCAGCTTGTTTTTCATCATATATAAATAAAAAATTGTGGAAAAGATTCAATTGATTAATAGGTTCTTGAAGTTTAATTTGTTGTCAGTGGAGATTTGCAGATGCACGGAAGACTGTAACATTAACTGGAGGAGAAATGTCTTTTTCCCCTTTCTCCTTTATCTGCCCTTTCTCTATTTGTCTATCCATATCGTAGATTACGAAACTGAAACTGAATTATTCTTTTTAATTGGGTGAAAAAAATCCTGAAAGAATCAGAAATTTAAATCTTGTGATCCATTAGTAGAAAAAGTAACTTGATTTAGGCAAGATGGTGCGAGACGTTACATTGACTTCTATTAATTACTGGCAAGATAAATTGGTGCTTCAATTGATACATACCCAAATGAATAGTATCAATCATTGATTTGGTTCGACAAGACTCAAAAGAAGGCAAGGATACAGTGTCATTAGAAGGAAACCTAGCAAAATAAAAGGGAAGACAAAAATTGGCAAGGGAAATTTCTGCAATTTATTGGTTTAGGCCTGGCAGCAGCCATTTTGGCTTGTGGGAATAGCGTCTCCCTAATATCATTCCCATCTTTGAAATTACATTCGAGAAAAGCTTGTATCTTCTTGAGTCTGTTGTTAATGTTTGGTGGAAGGGCACCACAATCATAGACAAATACAACGATAAATCCAAAGTGTTGGGTTCAAGTCTCATGCTTATTGGGGCTAGGTTTTTGCAGCATGAGATACTAGTGTATTTTTTTTTTTTTCTTTTCTTTTTTCCTTGCTCAAACAAAGTCTAATCTTGCTAGGGTAGTTTTCAGGTTATTTATAGAAATTATTCAGGTTTGAGGACAAGTAAGGAGGACAAAGATGACTGCATGAGTTTTCCTTTTCCCATTCCACTCTATCTGGAGATATGCAAAATAAAATAATAAATAAAATGGCTTTATATCATATTAATTTCCTGTTCATGAATGCCTATTTCATTGGTTTTTGCCTTTGAAAAGTGTTTTGAATTTCTTAATCTTAAATGATCATGCTCTTAAATGCATTATTACTGAATTTTATTCAAGCTAGAGAAGACCATGCATGTGGCGCTAATTAATGACAATCTGAATTAACATCACATTTGTGGCTGAGCAGAATAACTGGGATTTGAATTGGTGCAATTTTTTTGGACTCCAAGATGTAGGTTGAGTTTTGTGTGTTGGAAGGGCGGCTTTCCAATTCTCTCTCTCTTATGCATGCTATACATTTTAACATCATTCCAACTTGCTATAGTTTTGGATTAGTTACTTCGTTATGCTTCCTCTTTCTCTACCTGTTTGAATTTGTTAGCCTGGCGTTAATGCAGAAGAGCTGATGGTTCGGTTTGTGACAGGAGACCAGGCGAGGATAGTGACAGTGACTTCAGGGATTCAAGTAGTGATGGCAGTAGTGATTGTGAACCTGAAAGAGGATCGAAGGGCCCCAGGGATCAGTGGAATCATTGTCTTTTAACAAATGAAATTCCTCTTAGAATGGATAGATTGTCATTGAGAGACCACCATATTGCCCGTCAAGAGGACTTTTCTAGTGATGAGGGTGAATCTATGAATTCTCAAGGTTGTTTGCTATTTGAGTATCTTGAGCGTGACCCCCCTTATAGCCGGGAACCATTAGCTGACAAGGTCTGTGTTCTTCCTATGTTTTCAACAGTCTGCTGTTGTTTTGGAATATTTTTTTTTTCTTTTCCTGAACATTTTCATTGTTAACAGATAGCGGATCTCACCTTACGTTTCCCTGAGTTGAAGTCGCTAAGAAGTTGTGATCTGCTATCATCAAGCTGGATTTCTGTGGCATGGTATTCTCCGTTTTTGGTGTTTGTATTTGCTCCTATTATTTTATATCTTGTATGAAATATAGGTTTGGTGGAAATTTGTAGGTATCCAATTTACAGGATTCCAACTGGGCCAACATTGAAGGACCTGGATGCTTGCTTTCTGACATACCATTCTCTTCATACACCATTGGGAGGTATGAATAATCCTTTCATGGATTTCACATTGTTGCCTACATTTATTTACAGTTTCTACTGGGTTAATGAGACTTTTCCTGTTTCTCAATTTCCACAGTGGTGTTCTTGTAGGTATTTTCAGTTGTAAGTTATGAGTGGGTTTAGCTATTAGTTGTAGAATGTAGAAGGATTTTCCTAGCTAGGAATGATTTATGTCTAATTGCTTTTCGAGATGGATGTTTAGAGTTTTTGAATTTGTTACTCTACTTGGTCTGAGGTTAGACCATTTGGGTTTAACTATATTGTTTCTTTTTCTTCTATTTTCTGTTTACGGTCAATTGCTGGTAATGGTTAAGTTATATGATATCATATCAGTCCACATAATTGTCAATTCACGTGTCTAATTATGATACATTCAACACAAGTTATGTGATTTATTTCCCACCATGTTGACTTGAAATTTTGTTAGACAATTAATGCATTTAATTGTTCAATTTACCTATTAAATAAAGTTGATCATCCTATGATTGCTTTTCCGTGACATATCAAGCTGACTCTCCCTTGGCAGGTGCACCAACTGCTCAGGCTCCAGTGGTGACATATCCCAGTGAGATGGATGGTGTGCCAAAGATGTCCTTGCCTGTTTTTGGTCTTGCATCATACAAGTTCAAGGGGTCTTTGTGGACTCCTAATGGGGGATGTGAGCGTCAACTGGCAAATTCTCTCTTGCAGGCTGCTGACAATTGGTTGAGACTTGTTCAGGTCAATCATCCAGATTTCCTGTTTTTCCTTCACAGGTGATACAAAGACATGATAGTTATGGCACTCCACCCATTCCATAAGCTATAAGCTCATTACCTTTGGTATATGCATGAAATGTGCGAGTTAAAATCCCTTAAACTTCTGGAGATCAATACGAGAAGTTGAGTCAGGCGCAGTTTTCTTGGTTTATATCCGAAATAATTTATATGGAAGAAATGAGAAAAAAAAAAAAAATACAAAATTGTCACAAGCCCTAGGAATGGAAGGAATGTCAATGAAATAAGGCTCAAACAAAAAATGAATAGTGGAAACATAGAGTTAGGATGAGCTGCTGATGAAGGTTGAACCGAGCCAAGGTGAAGAAGTGGTTTAGCCAAGTGTCAGTGAAACCAAGTCTGTTTTTTTCAATATTTATATAGTATTGGCATGTCGTGATAAAACAGGCGCTTTTTTTGCTGTCCTGCTGATCAGTGCTTAGCATGTAATATTTATTTTGTTTTAACATTTATAAGGGGATTTTGATAGGAAGGTTGTATTGTCAAGTTTGCGCCTGCCCCATGTATGTATTTTAAAACTAATGGTTATCTGATGAGAAATGTGTTTAAAAATGTTTTTATAGTTGCTGATCTTATTGATTAGGCGATGTGCTTTTCTGATTGCTTCTAGTCATTCTATTTTTATGGATTTGTTCCCAATTTAAGAATAATGCAGATTCATTCTTTTTCGAAGGGTTCAACTCATTGTTATACTGCCATTACTATTTCGAAACTTCTGCTAAATCTGTTTTGGTAACATCATTATGTTGTGGAAATAGAGTAAATGTTTCCTGATTTTTTTATGGTAGTTTTCTCATTTCATAAATAAAATTTTTTTCTTTCCAAAGTGAAGTTGAGAACAAGAACTTGTTCGATTATGACTGGATTTTACACTGTCTTCTTAATTGGTTGGTGACATAAATTTTTGCTCAGTTCAAGAGAAAAACGAGAATTTTGACACTGACAGTTTTTTTTAATTAGTTAATTCGCGTAACATTGAGAATTGAAAGATGACTATAAATAACAAGAGCTGTTTCTTGCAAGACAATTACAGTGCATACAGTACTGTTTATAAGTCGCCCTCTTCATCTACACGTTCTTGAAGCTTCCTCTCCAAAGCCTCAGTACATATTTTTCCCATCATGTGATAGAAAGATATTAAATCAGATAATTGTCCAATTGTCATTTTACCCGTTATAACCCTTGCTACTCTCTCCCTTTCTTCATTCATCTTCAGTCTTTGCTTGTACGAAGAAGCATTTCTCACTGTTGCGCCCATTTGCTTGAGTCTATTCTCTTGCTGCAAACTCAGCACAGTATTTGCCTGCACCCGTAAAAGGAAAAAATGAGATATATATGACATACTGCTTGTTTTTGCTTCATGTAATTGTCAAAAGAAGGAACTTTAATGCAATATTAGAATCTTCGAGTTTAGACAACAACTATATTGGACGGAAAACAGTTTCGAGCAACTATCTGACAAGATCATTAATCTTGTTGATAGACTAACCTCGAGAAATTCTGCTCCGATTTCCAATTCTGATTCATGACCGAAACCAATTCCTCTTCCCGAGTTGTACATGTTTCTTGCAATTGAGAAACTTCTGACAATGGTCTTTCTCTTTGTTTCCAATTCTTGGTTTAGTTTAGGAGGTTTAGGCAAACATGTTGAGCAATTAAGCCTCTTCTCATAAGCAATCACAGCTTTCACAAATTCCTACACAAACAATATCCTTCTCCTATCAGACCACAAAAGTAGGGAAACAATCTTTACAGAACACCAATCAAATCAAAACATGACGATAAAATATAATTTCCTGCAATTTTACCTTATATGCTGCAGGACATCCCGGATAATCAAAATCATCAGAATCTTGATGGCGCATTCTTTCAGGATGAAACTGAAGTCCCATTATGAACTTGCCTTCTTCAGGATTATAAGCATTAGGATCATAGAACCCTTCAATAAGACCATCAGGAGCAAATGCCATCGGTTGAAATCGCTGAGCTAATTTCTTGACACCCTGATGGTGATAACTATTGACCAAGATTTTCATTTTGTTTTCCTCCAATGAATCTTTAAACCATTGGTGTAAAGGAGTATTTTCCACTACTTTCACTGGATGCCGGTGACCATCATAATCCTCATAATTTATATGCATCACTCTTTCTTCTTCCGGGATTTTCTTCGAAAGTTCTTTCTCTACATCTTGATACAACGTACCTCCACAAGCAACATTAAGGACTTGTGACCCTCTGCAAATTCCTAAATATGGTATGTTTCTTTCAAGGCATAGCTTTGCGAGTCGTAGTTCAATTGTATCTTTCTCTTTATCAATTGTAGTGTCACTTGCATGCACTTTCCTAATCTCTTCAAGTTCTTCTAGCGAAAAACCAGATAGTTCTGCATCATAAAGGGATGGATCAATATCTTCACCTTCACACAGGACAACGCCATGGATTGGCTCAAAGCTATCCAATAGCATATGGACTCCACTTACTCTAGGCACTATTACTGGAACAGCTCCATAGCTCACAATAAGATCTAGATGGAATTCTCCTGTTCATTCAATGAAAAACTAATATTAATAGTAATTAACACCATGTTTGGCATAAATGAAAATGTTCATTTCACATCTTAAAAACTAAATTTTATGTTCTATTCCTGCATATAAACAAAGTATTATTGAAAGCAACAAATGCTTATACAAATATTGTCTATTTCAATTCTGTACATACCCATGAATCAACCTATTCTATAATTAATACCAAGGCAAGCAACCAAACCAAACCATTACCAAAACTAGATCATTTCTCTCTAACTATAAACAATTAAACACAAAAGAAAATGCATGCATGGAATGAAACAATCCAAAACAGAAATATATGTAAATGGGATCAAACAAATACTCAAATTGAGGAGTTCTGATTGATCATGCAATTGATCGAAAAGAACAACAAAGAACAGAAATTGATTAAGGGAAAATAGAAAAGGAAACGAACCCACAAAGTCTACAAACTTGTTCTTGCGCACGGTTCGCCTAGAGACGATGAGAACCCTAGGAAGGATCATTGAGAGATCTGAATTATTGTTATTAGCCATGGCAACCACTGGTTTTGTAGGCTTTTTACAAAGAAAAAGAGAGGGAAGTTTCTGAAAGCTTCAAAGGATTGAGAATTAATGATAGTTTCTATGCAAGAATCATGTTAATATCTATGGGGATATCAGTTGGATTCATTTAACTTTAATAAGATGAAAGATGTTAACATAAAATGAACATATGTATTGATGTTTTTCTGGTGGGGTGATTAATAGGAGAGAAGAAGAAGAAGCGGCAAACTAGGCGCCGCGTATCGACACTTGTTTTTTTTTTTGTTTCTGCAATATAATAGGTTTTAAGCGTTATCTTGGGTTAATTAAGTCAAATTTGATTAGATGCTGACGTGGAGTCTTCTGTATGGATAGGATTAAGATTTGCTTCTTAAACTTGGTTCTGAAATATACAATTTATTCAAAAATTATTTTTTTTTTTATAATTATTGCCCCAATTTTATATCAAATGGCTAAAAAGAATCAATTTATAGGCAACATGAATAAAATACTATCTAAATATTTTATTATTATTACTTTGAACTTTTTACCTTTAATAATAGAAATAATTTTATCAATTAGGAATATAGGAATTACAAATTTATTTTTAGTCAAATTAGTGAATGTGCTCATTTGGTGCAAAATTGCACTAATAATTGTATAAAAAAATTGATTTTTGAATTAATTTTATGTCGTATACAAATTGTAAGGCAAATTAAACATTATTCCTATATTATACTCAAAAAAAAAAATCCTATAATTTAAAATTTATTTCAAGTAAATATTAAATGAGAATGAATTTGTTAGTCATTAAATTTATAATTTCATTTGTAAAGTAAATTCATAATTAATACATTTTCTACGAGAGATAGAAAGACCAATCGGACCACATCTAATTGACTATTTTATTTAAATATTATCTTCATCGTTGATCCCATAAAATAAATTCGTATACAATTTAAATCACTCGCAAAATAATTTTAAATTAATTTTATTGGTGACTTGCGAGTTGTTATCTTTTAGCAAATGGAAAAACACCACAAGTCAAATATTTTCTTTTTGAAAGAAATTTGGTTAGTCAAATTAATACAATCAGAATGTTTTTTTTTTTTTTTTTTAATAAAGTTCCGTGGATTAACAATTTAAATCAACTCGGCAAGAGATAATTTTAAATTAATTTTAGTTGGCTGAACTTGCGCAGTTGTTATCTTTTTTTCACCCAAATGGAAAAAAAAACACCACAAGTCAAATATTTTCTTTTTGAAAAAGAAATTTGGTTAAGTCATAATTAATAGCAATCAGAATGTTTTTCTTTTTTTTTTTTTTTGTCCTTTTTTTCAATACTCTTATCCGAGCCATCCTTCCGATTAAGGCAGTAGTATTTTGTACTGGGTGGGAGTGCTCATATATCAATAATATTATGTGGATTGGATAAGGTTTGGGTCTATGAGAGAGTTAATTGGCGATGACTATAGCTACAACTAAATTAATTATTACCTAGGAAATATTTCTTGCCTAACCCTTGCATTTTATTATATCATTAAGGAACGCAAGCTGGTATACCTCTTCCTTTAAAATAAAAAAAAAGGAGAAAATAAAAATACGTAGTGGTGTAAAATTGACGGTTTCTAAATCGCCACATATACATGATATTATGTGGGGGGGATTAAAGATAAATTAGACCCTAAAAAGGTAATTTTCAAAAAAAAATACAATAAACATATTTGTAATAAATCATCCCAACATCCTTTAACCCTCGAAAAATAGTTAGAAAAGTTGCAACTCTTCATTAATTAACTGCAAATGAAAATTATTATACAAAATTATAAAAATACAATTAACTTAATATTATACAAATTATCTCTTCTTTTTGAGAATTTTCCAAGTAGTAATTTATTTCTTCCAGAAATAAATACGCTTGAAAATCTAAATACCGTTGCTGCTTGGCAAAAATCAATTCTCTTTGAAAAATGTAGACCCCTGAAATTAGGCCAGCTTTGGACCAACGAAAGGCACGAAGCCAACATTTCGCGCGTCTTTTTTTTTTTTTTTTTTTTTGTCCTTTTTTCAATTTATGAGCATTCCGATTAGGCAATAGTATTTGTACTGGGTGGGAGTGCTCATATATCATAATATTATGTGGATTGGATAAGGTTTGGTACTATGAAATTAATTACATACTATACTACAACTAAATTATTATTACCAGAATATTCTTGCTACCTTGCATTTTTTATTAATTAAGGAACCAGTGGTATATTCCTTAAAAAAAAAAAAAGGAGAAAATAAAATACTAGTGGTGTAAAATTGACGGTTCTAAAATCGCCACATATACATGATATTTGATTAAAGATAAATAGACTAAAAAGGGTAATTTTTCAAAAAAATACATAACATATTTGTAATAAATCATCCAACATCCTTTACACTCGAAAATAGTTAGAAAAGTTGCACTTCATTAATTAACTGCAATGAAAATTATTATAAAAATTATAAAAATACAATTAACTTATATTATAAAAATTATTTTCTTTTGAGAATTTCAAGTAGTAATTTATTTTTCAGAAATAAATACGTTGAAATTATAGTTCTTGCAAAATAATTTCTTTGAAAATGTAGACCCTGAAAATTAGGCCAGTTTGACCAACGAAGGCACGAAGCCACATTTGCCGTCCTCATTCTGCACAAAAATGGGCCTTTAAGGCCCTCTTTAACAGCCCAATGGCCAAGAGTTAAAATATTTTGTTTTTTAATAAAAAAGAAAATATATATTTAAAATTTATATCAAACTTAATCGGGTTATATTCGGGCGGGTACCCAACGGGTGTTGAGTAAGCATCACTTTAATTCCCATATATGGGCCCATGGGCTTCTTTCAATTAAGGATAAAAAACTGATCGCTGGCAATCCAACCGCGTTCCAGCTATTAAAAACAGAAACTTCGGAGTTTTTCAAATGGAGTCAGTAAAAAGGGTCCCACTTCTATGACACAAAGTTCCAATCCAACGGTCAATCAATAATCAACAATCATCATCATACTATCCCAAAACCATCAGATATCAATGGTCAGAGAATCAAGAAATTAAAAAGCATAATCAAATGATTATGACCCATTTTACTGCTAAGAACGAAACAAATTCAGACACAAGACGCAATTACTACACAACCATCCAAAAAACAAAGCAGACCTATTTTAAAAGTTATAAAACATTACTCGCAAAGGGGAAAAGCGACAATTACCCAATTTTCCTCTCATCAAAAGCAGAGAAAAATAACTTACTATATACAGAGCAACTGAGCCAAACACAGGTTCAGCCTTTAGCTTCTTCCACTGTCTCACCTGCACAAATCAAAAGAAGCCGCTAATGGCTGTCTCCATCTCCATTTTAGCTATCGTCATTTCTCTTCATCTCATCGCCTTCGTCCTCGCCATCGGCGCCGAGCGCCGCCGTAGCCAAGTATTTTTCATTTTTTTCTCTCTTTTTCTGTATTTTCTTTTGAGATTTTTGCGTTTTTAAGGCTATTCATTGATCTTTTTTGGTTTGTGAAGGCTAAAGTGGTGCCTGATGAGTATGATGAAAGGACTTTCTGTGTCTATACTACAGACGCGTCGACGGTGTACGGATTAGCGGCGTTTGGGTTGTTGTTGATAAGCCAAACGGTGCTTAACGGCGTTACTAAGTGTCTCTGCTTTGGTAAAGGGCTTTGGAATGGAAGCTCTTCCACTAAATTGGCTATCTTCTCCTTCATTCTTTCCTGGTAAATTTACCGATTCCTCCCTCTTCCTTGCTGAAATTTCATTTTGTAGTTTATTATTATACTATGCAGACCTAATTGGGTAATTAGTAGTGGCTGCTTAGCTGTAGGCTGTCTTTATTGTCTGATTTCTGAAACGAACCGTTTAAATTAGCATGTGATTAAGATTAAGCTCCGATCATTTGGCATGTTTTTTGTAAATTGGGCCCGGGAAGATATTTCTCAACTGACAAATAATGCCAAAATGATCTGAAAGTTTAAATAACTGAATTGTTTTGTCCAACAGCTAAATGCTATCTGAAAGATGATTGCTCTTTTACCGTTGGGCTTTCTGCTTGTCATTGTAGTAGTTGACACATTCATTAATGGATATAACCATTGCAAGAATCTGAAAGATGATTGCTCTTTCTGTTTTGAATTATTAGGTTCCTTCTATTCATTAGTCTAAAGATAATTAAAACAACCTTGACCGCTTGTCGATATATAGATAGAATAGATAGGATTAGCAAAAGTTTTATGCTTGTCTCATTTCAGCATTGGTATGTGAAGCAAGCAAGATTGAATTATTTAGATAGGGAATATGAAATCTAGTATTTTGTTAGAGTTGTTGGTTCAAATTTATATGATTTAAAATCTAACAATAAAGTTTAAACCAATGGTTAAACGAAATAATTTAATAGTATCTTTTAAGGGAAAGGCTTGTCTACAAACACAATAGCCAGTTTGCTAGTTACTTATATTTAACATGGATGATGAACTAAAATCTTGAAACACAAAAAATAAATCTTCATTTTAGGATAAGTTTTGTGGGAGCTGAGGCATGCTTGATAGCTGGTTCAGCAAGAAATGCATACCACACCAAGTACAGAGGAATCTTTGGTGGAGATGACTTATCATGCGCCACCCTTCGCAAAGGCATCTTTGCTGCCGGAGCAGCTTTAACATTAGTTTCATTGCTCTGTTCGATCCTTTACTATTGGGCTCATTCCAGAGCTGATACTGGAGGATGGGAGAAGCACCACAATGAAGGTGTTGACATGACAGCTTCGAATTATCCACCACAACAACGACAGCAGACCAGTGAATTTGATAAAGTTTAATTAATTTGGATTTGATTAGTTTAGTGTTTACATTTTTGGGTGTTTCATTAAGGGAATATATATGGAGAGAAGAAAAATTAATGAAATGGTATTACCAAGTTATGAACATAGATATATTATGTAATATTATATTTCAGATGTTAAGTATGTGCATATTTGTGAGGCATTTCATCCCCAACCTGACATTTTTTTTGCTATATTGGAAAGTTTTAAAGGAGAGGGAATTGTCAAGGTTTTGAACATATGTTTCTGGATTATCATTGATGTAAAATTGCTGGATTTAAATATATAATAGTTATTATAAATATAGGTGATATATACATGGATTTACTCAAAGAACACTTATTAGTACGTGTTCTGTTTCTGTCATTTGCGTTGTATTTTTATGTTCATTTTTGTTTCTGAGAATAAGTAATGAGTTTGATTAAAACTAGAAAAGCAGTGTTTCTATTGCTGTGATTAGACTAGGATTCAAGAAGAAACTTAGAACATTACTCACGCATTGATGCTGGTAAAAATTTATATAATAAATTAATTAAAAGAAAAAAAAGATGAAGTACCAATAAATAAAGTTTTGGTCTTTTTATTAATTATATAATCTACTCCTATTATTCCTAGAAACACATGGATACAATCTGAATTCCCATTCTATGATACATATATATTTTAAAAGAGGAATGAAAATTTTATTCTATATTTTATGCTATTCCATTCGTTGCTTACAGTTGGTTGGGTGTAAAATAGGGAGGAGTGTGAAATAACAAGTGAAAATTTTTTTAAGTTTTGCAAAATACCATGTTTGGAAAGAAAGTGAAATTATGAGTGGATATAAAATATTCTTTATTTTACTTTCTCCAATTTATTCTCTAAAATGGAAGGAAAATAAAACAATAAGAATGTAAATAAAGTAAAATAAAAATTTATTTTACTCTGTTTCTTATTTTTTTCTCCAATCCAAACAAAGAGTGTAAAATAAGATAGTGACATTTTACTCCGTCATTATACATCCCCTCTCTCTATCCAAACAAAGCATTAATTTCATATTCCATTTCCATTGTATCAAGAATAATTTATAACCCTAATGTGAAAGGCTAAGGAGTCGCAATCGCTTTTAAAGGCACTAGATAAGCGCTCATCCTTTGGGTAATTTAGCTAGCAAAGGGTTAACTGACACTTGTAGCATCCACATCTACTCAACTTTCAATCTCAATTCATGCTAATTAATGCTTATCATAATTTGGTTTCTACTTCCTTTAGACATTTAAATTTCAAATTTTATACTTTTAATTTTCCCAATTGATAAAAAATTTAACATTTTTAATTTTATTAATTATTTTGATTTTACTCCCTTTGGTTCATTAAATTTGACAGTCTTTGACAATTTTTTTTTTTTTTTTGTTAAATACTTAAATTTGAGAGTGCCATTTAAAGGAAATGTGTTAAATTTAATTGCACAGAAGGGTGAACTTAACACTATATTGTAGTTATTATGTCTAGTTTATGAAGTGTGGTGAGTTCAGTTGTGATGTACAAAGAAAGCCTACATAATAAAAAGCTTAATTGTTTTCTTTGCGATATTGATAAAAAAAAAAAAAAAAATTATCTATTTATATTATAACTTTTTTTTTTTTAATTTTCCAAAGCGAATAACATTAATTTACTAGCTCTAATTTTTGTTTTGAACGATATATATAAGAAGAAATAATTATCCATAAATTGAAAAGAACAACAAAGTTCACTATTAAAACGACAGAGAAAACAAGAAGCCAACTGAAAAGCTCGAGCATTACATGAATCTTGGCACTCCATCAACCGTGGAAAACAGAAACTATATATAGAAACGAACATAACATATAAATTACCCTCTAAATATATATTATACCGAAACAAAACAGCTAAAACGACATAACTCCATCAAACTATTCCACTGCATATAAAGAGATGAACAGAGCCTAGCAGTTGTTGGGGAATGGAGAGCCACAAGTGGTAGCTACCTTCTTTGCATTAGGAGAGTTAACGAGCTTCTGGAGATAAGGGTTCTTCAGGTACTGGCAGAGGCAAGGCTTCTGCTCCTTTAATTTGCTGCAACAAATGGTTGATGGTGGGCTTGAAGATGTTATTGCTTTCGCACATGGAGTTAACTCAACTGGGTTACAAGTTACTGCCATTGCCACTTGTAGGGTCTCACCTAATAACAAAAGGAACACAATCAAACTTGCAGTTCTTGAGATTTTCATTTTTCACCTTCTAACTACAATAGAGTAGAGGAAAGAGTGTGTGTGTGTTTGTTTACTTGGTTGTTTGTGTGTGAGGATAGTTGAAGGGTTTGACGAGGCGTCTCACAATTTATAGGGAAGTTTTGGAAGTTGTAATGTGGATTTTTCTTTTACCCATTTTTTAATTGAAATAAGAAATTCTTTTTTAACATTCATGATTCTCCTTATGCCAAAACAATGTTTCATCACCAATATGCAGTTGATTCAAGGATAAATGATATTGTATCTTTAATTATAAAGTTAAGAGAAAGAAACGAAATTAAAAATCATCGGTAGAAAGATTTTATCTAAATATCATTTTCAATTTAAATGTGAAACGCGTATGAAAAAAAAGCAATGTTTCACCTTTATTTTTATTTTAATTTTATTATCAACTTTATTTCCCATTCAATTTCTAGCATAAATAATTATTCAAAAAAAAAAAAAAAATTTCTGGCATACAAAATTGAGGCAAAATTAAGAGTTGTTCAGCAATATTAGCCGCTGTTTTATTAATTGTTAGCTATTGTAATAACTATTAATGGTTAGCTATTAGTTTTTAGCAAATAGTTATTTATATAATGGTTTTAAATTAAAAATATTTAATAAAAATAGCTGTATAATTTAAAATGATAAAAAAAAATATTAACCATTTAATTAGTTGAATTTGAAAGAAAAATAATAAATATAATTATCAAAAAAATTTAATTAATCTCTTATAAAATACTAAACTTAGAGTATTTAATATTTTATGAAAAGCTATCACGAATAGAGTATAAGAGAGAAATAGAGTTTTTTTTTATCGGTTAAAAAGCTAATTCATAACATTTTTCTAACTATAAAATTGTTGGATAACATCGTAAGCACCGTAAAGTTGGGTGCTCCTTATCATGGAAACGTGATCACTTTGTTTTCTTTTCCTTTCTTGGCTTTAATTATTTCTTACCAGTAGACTAGGCACCTATATATATATATTTGTTGTTTTTTTTTTTAAATTTTAAGATTGTTTTCTTTAATCTTCAAGGCTAGCTATGATAAACGACTTGGAATCATTATGCTGCTTCATTTTATTCTTGTTCTCATTCTAATCTCCTCCGCGCCGGCGCTTCCTCCTTTTGTCTGATTTTTGTTGAGTTTTGTTGTTTTAATGATTGATGACTAAATTTTTTTGAAGGAAAAAGTGAAAGAAATTATAAATTCACAATTGACCATTGTCAATTATCGTAATTATATAATTAATTATGCGAAAAGTGCTGTCTGAAATTCTTTACCCATCTTTCGGTGATGTGATGTGCTGCTCTTTTTCATGTTTCTTAGAGCTTTTCCATAATTTCTTTTTTGAAAATCATTTTTCAGCAGAAAAAAGAGAGTCCGGTATTCAAACTAGTCTCAATGATTGTGTCAAAATCCTATTTTAAATATTTATAGTTATATTCAAATATTTTTATTCTCGATCAAAATAATTATTTATCTCTAAAAAAAAATTATATATCTTGTTGAAAAATAGATTCCCTATTGAAACAATATAAAATAACTATATGGTTTATAATGAGGTGTTGGATTTAGAGAGAATTTAGTTGGATAAATTTTCTTTGAAGTAAAAAGTTACGAAGAAAATAATATTTGATACTTATAAATAGGGGTAAATATAGTTTGACTAGTTCGACTTTTAAGTGATATCCAAATAGAACTAAATTCAAATTTTTTTTTTTCTTTTAAAACTAAAACTATTATCCTAATAATTTTTAAAAGTACTTCCATTTTAATAAAGCTTTTAGACTTCCTATTTAATACAAATTATAATACTTACACATTTATAAGCTAATGCGTAGAAAATTATGAACTTTAATATTTTATATCCTAGATTTTAATGATTGAACTTAATAATTTTTTGAAATGATATTTATTGTGCATGCCATGCCATGCATCTACCTGCCAAAATCATTGAAAATTTGAGAAAGAAAGTTGGCATATGTGTTGTGCAAACTAGTCATATTCCTTGGTTACACTTATTCTTTTTGGTGTAGATGATTATTAATTCCACATGAAAATGTTAAAGTACGGGGTTAGACAACGACTCCCTCATCATAACATAGCATTATAAATTTAGATTCCAAAGTAAAAGAAACTAATAATTTTTTTTTTCTAATGCTAGCTAATACTATTTTTACTAATTTAACAACTATTTTTGACTTTTTATTTAGTTTAAGTTAATTGGTCTTCTATAAGTCTGTTTCAACTCTTACATGCTTATAAATTTATATTTTTTTCTTTTATCTAGTGATGAGTAAATTTCAATTTAAAACCGAAAAATTAAAGCAACATGATCTACAGTGTTCCCATTAATGTATGCAAAATAATTTATTTTTTCTCAAAGTCGATCTAACTGAACCAATTAGTCTAGTTTTATTCTAAACGAAGTTCGATTATAGTTTAGAATCAAACCGCACGATTACACACCCTTAATTTATATATAAAAAAGTTGATTTATGATCAACTTAATAATTTGTTGAAATCATATCTATTGTGCATGCCATCCATCTGCCTACCTAAATCTTTAAAAATTGGAGAAAGAGAGGTTCCTATGTTGTACATAAGCTAATGATCTTCCTTAATTAATTACATTCTTATTCTCTTTGGCGTAGATGATGATTATTGTTTATTTGAAATAATTAATAAAGATATAATGCTGTAGCACTTTTTTGAGTTTGATGACGTATAAGAAGATGTTAAAAGCAGGGGATTACACAAAGCCTCCCTCATCATATAGCATTAGAATTTTAGATTCGAACCAAAAAAACCCCAATTGCATGCTTTGATTCATTAGCCTCTTGTAATCTTTCAATCACCCCCATATTCACTTGATAACCTTTTTTTTTTTTTTAATATTTCCTCCATTTAAATATATAAGTCGTTTTAAATGATTATTTTGTTATAAAATGTAAGATATTTTGAGTATATTACAAAGTAATAAATGATATATTTTTTTTCAATTTTACTCTTATATTTATATTAAACGCAGTAACTATCTTCACAAGTTACCATTGATTTTCAGATAAAAGGTAATTTAATCAAATTACCCTCAATTTTATTATAATTAGAGAAATTAATTGCTTTTTTAATTCTCGTGCAATAATATTAATCGCCATATATTTTGATATGAAGAGAGTATATATTTGTCATAGTTAGATTAAAACGTGGATGAAATTCTTTGTGTCGTAAACTTATTATGGATCACTAATTTAATTAAAAGAATATCATTTGTATTGAAACTATAGAACTTGTTCATTTGTAGGAAAAATATTGATATTTCTATAAACTATAGAACTTGTTTTTTTTTTTTTGGTGGTGAATCTTTGATGAAGATGCAAATCTCTCTCTCTTAAAGGCTAGGAAAATTGTTGGTCAATGGTAAAAGATTAGGGTAAAAAATTTACCCAACTTTGGGTGAAGAGATAATAATATTTGTCAAATGATTGCATTTGTTTTAGATTGAATTAGGTAAATAATGTTAAACATGCGACTGCGGTTTTAATGATTACAAGATCGATTATGTTGACTAGTGCCTCATAATAATATGACTACGACTTGGGACATCAATAATAATGAATCATCATGTTGGCGTGAGATTGCCCTTCAAAGAAAAATCACAACTCTTATCTATATATAACATTTTTTTTTTTATCAATCGAAAATTGATAATTAAAAATCAATATTTTACATGCAAGAACTAAAAATCTTAAAAATGTTGTCAGGGTGGAGAGTCGTAAAATGTTACTAAAATACTTAATTTTAGATTTATAATGGATCTCTCGTAAATTTTAAGCACCTCAAGATTTTTTTATGGAAAATGTAATGGTTAATTAATGTACTTATCGTAAAATTAACTTTTAGTGAGGCTCTGTTTGTTTCCGTAAAATAACTTGCAGGAAAATAATTTACTGAAAAATATTTTTATGAAAAACATTTTCCTTGAAAAATATTTCCCAAATGACTTATTTTCCATGTTTGGTTGTAATATTGAAAATTAATTAAAAATATTAAAGTCTTTATCTCATAAGACTATAAAAAATATTAATAATTTGGCGTGTAGATTGCCCTTCCAAAGAACAAATCACAACTCTTATCTATATATAACATTTTTTTTTTTTATCAATGCGAAAATTGATAATTAAAAAATCAATATTATTTACCATGCAAGTAAACTAAGAAAATCTTAAGAATGTTGTCAGGGTGGAAGAGTCGAATATATGACTAAAATACTTAATTTTAGATTTTATAATGGAAGTTCTCTCGTAAAATTTTTTAAAGCACCTCAAGATTTTTTTTATGAAAATGTAATGGTTTAATTAAAATGTACTTATCGTAAAATTAAACTTTTAGTGAGGCTCTGTTTGTTTCCGTAAAAATAACTTGCAAGGAAAATAAATTTACTCGAAAAAATATTTTTATTATGAAAAACATTTTCCTTGAACAAATATTTCCCAACATGACTTCACTTTGCCAAATGTTTGGAATTGTAATATTGAAAAATTAAATTAAAAATATTAAAGTCTTTATCTCATAAGACACTAATAAAAAATATTAATAATAATAGAAAATTTTATAATTTAAAAATTTCTCAATTGTTAAATATGAAAAGACTATGGCAAAAAAAGAACAAAAAATTATGAAAGCGCCCGTGGTGTGGCCCGGTGGTAAAACATGGTGACTGGTGTAGTAACTATGATGATTAATAAATTAAAAAAAATATAGATTTTATAAAGTTTGGCCAATGTCCGAAAAACAATGTCTTCTACTCTCTGCGAGAATGAAAAAGCTTTATTTTTCTTAAAAAAATGTACTTTCAATTTTCTTTGCACCAGAAACCTAATATTTTCCTCATTCATATACATATTTCATTGAACACACCAAATAATAAAAAGTTTATAAAAAATAAATATTTTTTTCCTGAAAGTTATTTTAAGCAAACAATAAGTCTAAAAATTCAGAGTTTTATTATAAAATTTAGTTAAAGAAAAAAAAAAAAACCACCAAAAAAGGCCAAAAAAAAAAAAAAAAAAAAAAAGGCCACAACATCCTTT